TGAGAGTAAGCCAGAGACGTCATATCACATACACCACCTTTACCCCTAAATATTTCTCTCTTCTACCCCTAAATATGTCCACTTCCTAAAAATAGGGATATTCTCTTTATAACTGCAGAGTGTTATCAACTTCTTACATGCACTCTGAAATAATGCTTTTATCTAATCCACCTTCCATACTCTAACTTGGTCAGTTGATCTAACAAGGTCCTTTATAACATACTCCCCCCCACCTTTATAACATACCTCCCCCTTCCAGTACAGTGGAAGGTATTGCATTTAGTTGTATGTCGTTTGTCCTCTTTTTATATGGAAGATTTTCACAGCCTTTCTTTGTCATTCATAACATTCACATTCTTAATAAACAGTCCAGCTTTTTAAAAAATGGAATGTTTACATCTTGTGTTTGTGTGTCTGATGTTTCCTTGTGATTGGATTGAATTAGACTGACTTTGGCATACTGCACAGGCTGTGTTCTTCTCAGGGTATATCCATGTGTCCCCTCATATGTAATGTTAAATTTTTTTTTTTTTTTTAGCTGTGTTGGTTCTTCGTTGCTGTGCGCAGGCTTTCTCTAGTTGCTGCAAGCGGGGGCTACTCTTCGTTGTGGTGCACGAGCTTTCCATTGTGGTGGCCTCTCTTGTTGTGGAGCACGGGCTCTAGGTACACAGGCTTCAGTAGTTGTGGCACACGGGCTCAGTAGTTGTGGCTTGCAGGCTTTAGTTGCTCCACAGCATGTGGAATCTTCCTGGACCAGGGCTTGAAACTGTGTCCCCTGCATTGGCAGGCAGATTCTTAACCACTGCGCCACCAGGGAACTCCCAATGTTAAATTATTGTGTGTGTGTGTGTGTGTGTGTGTGTGTGTGTGTGTGTGATGTTAACTTTGATCACCAGGTCAAAGTCTCACTTCTCCACTGTACAATTAATGTTTAGTGTACAGTTACTTTGTATCCTGCTATTTTCACTTAACACTAGAGAAGACTGGCAGAAACTGCTAGTTTTTCCTCAGTATGCTTCCTCCAAAATCTTTTAGCTGGACATATTTCTTGAGGCTGGGTATGGTCTTATGACTAAGTCCTGTCCAGTGGTATGGGAACACAAGTGAATGTGATTTCTAGTTCTATGTTTTAGATGGATAGAACATGCTTCCCTCTTCTATTTCCCTCTTCCCATTGGCTGGGATTTAGTCATGATAGCAGAAGCTAGGTTAGTCATCTTGAACCATGCAATGGAAGCAGCATGTGGAGAATGGCAGAGCAACAAGAGAGAAAGAGACTGGGATCCTGAGAATTCATGGAGGAAAGCTGCCATACCAGCTGAGACTTTTACAAAGATAAAGAAAGAAACTTCCATCTCATTTGTGATATATTTGGGGTTTCTGTAATAGTTTCTCTACCTCTGTCTTAAGTAACATAGGTATTTCCCCTCATTGCTACATAGTTTTCATAATTATTTTTAATGGCTACACAATATTCCATCAAGTGATATACTAGTAATTAAAAAACCACTCGCCTATTAAGTACATATTGCTTATGTTTTTTCATTATTGTATATGATGTTGTGATTAAGAGTTTAATGTATATATGGCTTTTTCATTTTTGTGGATTATTTCTTTAAGATAATTCCTTAGATATGTGATTATTAGGTTAAAAATAGAAGAGATCATGGCTCTAGGTAGGTTTTGTTCAAATGTCTTCCAAAAACAAACTCTCTGTGGTTAATTCTGATGTGCAATGCTGAATTACTATGCTTTTAGATAACTAATTAAATGTCATGATAAGTGATTTGAAAAACAAAAATGTGAATTATTAAGGTTAATTATAATTGATACATTAGAACATATTTATTTTCATACTTTCCAGTGTCAATGGTATTGCCATGTTAATGCAATATACAAAAAATGTCCAAAGTGGGGGTATGTACCTGCAAGATATACTGCATCACACCACGACCAAGTTATTGCCTTTTCAATTCTCCATTCGATTTCATAAAGGAAAGTCTCCATTTGGTAAAAATCTAGGTAGACTATAATCCATAGTCATACCTGTGATTGCCTTTTAATTATGGCAAAGGACTTGTTTTCCATTTATAGTCATAATATAACATTTTTTTTAAATTTAAGTTTAAAAAGGTCAAATTAAAGAAAATATTAAGTATATATCATATGTGGAAGTAAAAATAGAGACAGTTGAAATCGAGAAGGACTGCAATTTGGAAGTACTTACATAAGGAAAGATATTGAGCCCTAACAATCTCTGCTAACTCCTTATGATCTCCAGCAGAGTGTATTTGTTTTTACTGAGAACAGTATGGTTAATTTACATTGCAGAATTGTGTACCTTTGACTTTTTCATGATCTGGAAGTAGTTTTAAAAACATTGCCCATTGGCTGTAGTCTATCTATAATTCCATTACTCTTTAAAGTTAACAGGCCTGGAGCAGAGATAGTATAGGATACTTAGCAATTTTCTTGAAAAAGGAGTGCACCATCTCAATCTTTAGTTGACAGAGAGAACTTTATCACCTATTACTTAACCAGTGTAGTAGGCACTTTACATGCATCATCCCGGTGATCCTCACAATAGTACCGTGGGATGAAGAGCATAATCCCCATTTTAGAGATAGGGCTTAAAGCAGTGAAGTTTTCTCAATATGAGATAGAGAGAAGATTAAATATAAAGTTCCTAATATGTCTGGCACATGCAGCAGATACCAAATAGATAGTAGTCATTATTATTGTCATAGTGTTTGGCAAGCTCAGAATTTAGTCTGAAGTCTGCTCAGTTCAATCCCATGTCTTTATAGAACACCATGCTGGGTCCTATAGAATTACAGAAAAAGAAAAAAGATAATTTAAAGATAACTCAAAATTCATGTTAAATCCATGAATCATTAACTCAATAGATTTTTACTCAGTGCTTGCTATGTTCCAGATGCTATGAAATGAGTTTCCAATCATTCCACGTACCCTTAGTCTAGCTCGGGATGCCACAGGCTGCTACAGTGCCCTGTTCTTCCCCAGCACATGTGATCTGATTTAATGCCTATCATCTGTGCTGAGGAGTGTGCTCTGGGGGAAACATGTCCTGTGACGACCACTTGACCTCCGGTATGCATCTTAGTGCCCAGTAGAGTTTTATTAACGTTTCCCTCCAAGAAACACTTTCAAACTTTTTTTTAAAACCTCTCCATTATGTATATATGATCCCAGCTATGTTAAAAAAAAATTAAAGGAAATTTCTCAGATTTCTTTATGGCTGGTGGGATTTCCAGTATTTCTTGTAACACTTTCCATATATATATTTTTTAATAAATTTATTTTATTTTTGGCTGTGTCGGGTCTTCGTTACTGTGCGCAGACTTTCTCTAGTCGTGGAGAGTGGGGCTACTCTTCGTTGCGGTGCGTGGGCTTCTCATTGCGGTGGCTCTCTTGTTGTGAAGCACTGGCTCTATGCACAGGCTTCAGTAGTTGTGGCACGTGGGCTCACTAGTTGTGGCTCATGGGCTCTAGAGCACAGGCTCAGTAGTTGTGGCGCACGGGCTTAGTTGCTCCGTGGCATGTGGGATCTTCCCAGACCAGGGCTCGAACCCGTGTCCCCTGCATTGGCAGGCGGATTTTAACCACTGTATCAACAGGGAAGTCCCACACTTTCCATATTTTCTATGTTAAGTTTTTGTATATAATAATAGAAAGAAGAAAATAAAGTAAAACCTACTGGTGTTGAAAAATAACGTGTGAAGTCTAACAATATTGAATGCAAATGTACATAGGTGTAGCATCACTTAACAATGACCACTGACAAGACCTATCTGCTTCCATTCTCCTTCCCCTTCTCCTACAAAACCAAATGGTTCGTGCAAGCAGGGGTTCAGGGACAGCATGTCCTTCTCTCAAATACTTTGGCAGCATTATGAGGTGGTAATTGCATAGGGAATCCTCAAAACAAAATCTGGAAGCAGCTGGGCGAGGCAGCCCTCTTCTGGGGAAATAAGAAAATGCTTTCACCCCAAAGGATGTTGGCTGGATTGTAAAGGGCGTTTAGGGCCCTTAAGGCACAAGAGCATTCAAAAGGTATTTGCTGAGAATAATGAATTTTTGAAGCTAAAAGGTTATTTTGGAAGTTGAAGCATAAATGTTTATTTTTGTAAATATTGAGCATGTGTTTAAAATTTCTTAGCCTCAATTGCTCATCTGTAAAATTCAGAAAATGACCTCATAAGGTCATTTTAAAAATAATGTGAATAAATGCAGTTATTCAGCACAGTGCTCAGCAGAGAGTAAATGCTTAATAAATGACAGTCATTATTTTAACTTTTACTCATTTCATAATCTTTACAGTAATCATTTTACCTTGTGGAACTTCTCCAGTGTTTACAGAAAAAGGACTCTAAGGAATCTGAGATATTGCATCTAGGAAAAATGAACATGTGTGTGTATATACATTTTAAAAGAATGATTTATGGCTAAAAAACATGAAAACATTGAACTTTGAGATCTCTTCACTGAAAAATTGTTTATTAAGGTGTTAACGTTTTATATAATTGGTTCAATATTTATATAATTTAAAATTCTGAGCTGCCCTTGAATAATCCACATGTCTACAATACTCACATGTATATAAACTACATGTTTCCTGATATTTAACATAGACTTCTCTAACTTCCATTTATCAGACAAATAAAACATTAATCTTTCAAAGCTACACCTTTAGGAGTTCACAAATTCCTATTTCTTTGAGTTTTTTTTTTTCTATTTTACTTAAACGTTCTTAAAAGAGGAAGCTGAAAGCCCCAAAGCAAAAGCCTTAATCTGCCTTTCACAATATATATGTGTATCAAATCATCATGATGTACACTTTAAATACCTTACAACTTTGTGAATGACACCTCAATAAAGCTGGAAAAAAAAATGAAATCACACACACAAAAGCCTTAATCTGAACCAATGTTGAGAAATGGAGCAATGAATAGGATCTTTTATTCATCACACAGAAAAAATACAGAATATATCTAGTAATTTAGTTTTGCCTAAAGAGAATATACTTTGTATTTAGAGAAATAAAAGATTAGTTGTCAGGAGTTGCTTTTGGAGAATGATCAGTAAGTGTCTTATCAATGGTCAGATACTGATACCAGGGACCATCGCCTCTTGCACGCATTAAACTTCGTACTTCCAGCTCCTTTAACCTGTAACAAACAGAATGGTGATGTTGTGACTACAGCATTTACAATTATAAAGTTAATGAATTATCTCCATAAAGAACAACAACTTGAGAGTCTTGCTTTTATGTAAAATATAATGTCCCTCCACAGATCCATATGTATGCATATATCTGATATGTACCTATAAGCAAAATTTGGGACTTATTTTGGCTTTTATTATCTTGCTTATGTAGTTAGCCAATGAATATTGTTTTTAATCACCCAAGCGTCACTTGAATTGATAATCAATTCTCTCCTCCTGTCCCTGCTCTTTGTCTGGACAGATCACTTTCACTTGAATAGTGATAATGCATTTCCTGTCTTCTTGCCTTTTAAATGTTAGGAGAGTCATTTACAGAATGCCTACTATCATGACCACATACTGTGCCAAGTGCTAGAAATTAAAAGGGAACAAGCCTTCCTGGAGGAGCTCACATCCCCTGTCTATACTGGCTGCCGATCACCATTAGGACAGAAAACCTCTTGAGAGAAGAGACAGTATCTTATTCACCAGCCACCAGCATCACACTGAGCCTGGTCAACGTTGGACGATCAATATTTGTAAAGAAAAGAAAAGAGAAAAACCAGGATTAAGAACAACATTCTCTGACTCTAAGATCTACTTATTTGTCCTCATCCTTCTTCACAAATTGAATAATCTCTATTCTAGAAAGGATACTTTCCTTCTTCCACAGCCAAGCCTTTGCACAAAACTACCACGCATTCCTGGAATAATCCCTTCTCCATCAAGCCTTTTACTTTCCATTTTTATAGACTACATACTAACTTTTTATGACTGGAAATCTGTCACAGTTAAATTATTCACTTTATTAACCTTAACCAGTTTACCAACGCTATCTATGACAGATAATATACCTTTGTGATAGTGTATATAAGAGAATACATTTATCTTTTATTTTTTTAGGATTAAATATCATCCTTTTTCTTTTCTACTCTTTATAATATAATTATCTAAAGTGCAAGTAATTAAAATATTCATCACAGGGGACTGGTTAAATAAATTACTGTTCACCCATATAATGGACAACTTATGCACCTGTTAAAAAGAATGAGGGAAATCTATATATAGTAACATGGAAGGAGAGGACAGATATATCATTAGGTTGAAAAAGCAAGGTATAAAATGAGTTTGTGTGGCATCTTCCCATTTCATTAAAAAGCAGAGAAAATCATTTGTGCTATGTATATGTACACATGTACAGAGTATTAAAAATTCTGGAGGACCAAAAATAAATTATCTCTGGGGGAATCAATTATGTAAGACAGTTCCTTTCTATTTTATACCTTCCCTTTAAGCTTCAGTTTTCCAAATACCTAAACATATATTTTTAAAAATCTGTAGGTACTCCCCATTCCATTCTCACACTTGCATCTTTCTTTTAGGAGTAAAAGTTAGGGTCCTGTTTTAGCTTTTTAAAAATTATTTATTTATTTATTTATTTATTTAGGCTGCTCCAGGTCTTAGTTGCAGCACACGGGATCTTCATTGCTGCTTGTGAGATCTTTTTAGTCGCGGCACGCGTGCGGGATCTAGTTCCCCGACCTGGGACCGAACCCAGGCCCCCTGCATTGGTAACACGGAGTCTGACCCACTGGACCACCAGCGAAGTCCCCTGTTTTTGTTTTTATTTTTACTTTGTTTTGTTTTGAAATTGTTTGGGATTGTTATATGTCTAAGAAATTTTGTAATCTGATGTTTTATCAAAGGTATATGTCTGAAGTTCAAAAATGTCCAAAGCTAACTAAGTATGAGGCATAATGCTATTTCATGCTCTTAAATACTTAATGACAGTTCTATATGGTAACTACACATACATGTTATTACATATCTACAAACAAGCCAATCATATGTTCATTTAATCATTTAAATAGTTTTCAATATCATAGCAATTTTTGTAAACTACAAAATTAAAGCAGAATGAACAGAAAGCAGATCAATGGTAGCCTGGGGCCAAGACTAAGGGATGGGGATTGACTGAAGGGACAGGAAAGAGACTCACTAGGTGATCAAAATGACCTTGATAGTAGTGGTGGTTACAGTTATATATTTTGTCCAAACCCACTGAACTTAATGGGTACTTTTGATTGTATGTAAACCTCATTCCAAACACCAAAATAAATCTCAGAAAAGATCATATTTAAAAGTAGAAAAAGAAAATATAAGTGAACATTAAAAAATAATTTTGGGGCTTCCCTGGTGGTGCAGTGGTTGAGAGTCCGCCTGCCAATGCAGTGGACACGGGTTCGTGCCCCGGTCCGGGAACATCCCACATGCCGCTGAGCGGCTGGGCCCGTGAGCCGTGGCCCCTGAGCCTGCGCATCTGGAGCCTGTGCTCCGCAACGGGAGAGGCCACAGCAGTGAGAGGCCCGCGTACTGCGAAAAAAAAAAAAAATTTTTGGACTTGTGTATTTACTTATTTTATTATTATCAGAGACCTATATATGACACAAAATTCCAGAAGCTAAAGAAAAAGACTGATAAGCTTGACAATCATTAAATGAGTAAATATATTAAAAGCAATTAAAGCATCAGTACACAGTAAGTGTTCAAAAACATATTAGCTACTACTGCATTTTTGTTATCTGAAACATAAAAACTCTACACTGTCAGAAGACAAATGACAAGCTAGGAAAACATATCTGCAACAAAAACAAAAGGGGCTATTTTAATCAATGCACAAATTAATAGAAAATAGGCAATTTATGAAAAAGAAATATAAACAACCAATAGATATACGAAAAAATACTCAACTTTGCCAAAAAATACAAAATTGAAATGATGAGATAACACTTTTCAACTGTCTTATCAGCAAAAATGTTTAGGTTTGATAAATTCCTTTACTGGGAAAGGTATGGAGAAACAGAATTATCCTGTATTGGTGACAGAAAAGACCACTGGTATAACTTTTTAAAGAAGAGTTTGACAAAAGCTATCTAAAATTTAAAGCATAACATTTGGTTTATCAGTGCCACTGCTAGGAATTTATATTCCAGATACACTGAATAAATATGCAAAAATATATGAGGATATTCACCACAGCACAATGTATAATTATCAGAAAACTTGGAAAGAGCTTAAGTACCAACAATAGGTCCCCCACTGGTTAAAAAAATTAAGGCACATCCATCCAGTGCAGCCATTAAAAAGAATAGAGTATATGCTATTACCGAAAGATCAAGATACAGCTGGCCCTATCTATCTTCGGAGGGCCAACTGTTCTATGCCATTTTATATAGGGACTTGAACATCCTCAGACTGGTATCTACTGGAGGTCCTGGAACCAATCCTCCTCAGTTACCAAGGAATGACTGTATATTTACATGAAAGAAAGACAAGGTGCAGAACAGTGCTGATAACAGGATTCCATTTGTGTTAATATATTTTGTAAATGATATACAAAAAATATATTTTTAATGCATAAAATATAAGAGATCATTAAATAGTAGTCACCTCTAAGGATGACACTGGGTGTAAGAAGAAAGGAAATTGGGTCGGGGAGGGGAAGGAGAGGGCTACCTTGCACTTAAAAGAGTCAGGACATTTCAAAAAAGAATTCTTTTTAATCTGACAGATACTATCTCCTAATAGCCTTCTAGTCTCCAACTCATAATCTCCTCTCTAAACAGGCTAATTCTCTCTCCATCTTCACCCTTTTACACAGAGCATCCTACACTGTTGAAATAGTTTTATTAAATTTCTTCCTGTGGTTTGCAACTGTAGGAAAGGATTTTCTTCCCTGCACTCCAACCCCTGCCCTTTTTTTTTTTTTTTTTTTTTTTTTACCGTAATTCAGCTTTTTCAGCTTCAATTTGAAGGACAGCCATTGTTCTTTCATAATTCTTTTCAGGACTATCAAAGAAAGTTCGGGCAATCCATCTTGATATAGGATGCTACAAGAGAAAATGTGTTTAAAATTAGTGTCTGAAAAGTACTTTGCTCTTCCAGTTTACTATTCTCCTAAAATGACCATCTCAGGTAAATCAATAACACTTTTATATATCAACCACTTTATATATTTTTAAAATACTTTTAATTTGTTCGGTAGATACTACCTTTGTCCTCATTTATAGATGAGCAAATTTCACAAGGTTGTACAGTTACTAGGTTGCAGCATCTGCGCTCAGGCCAGGGCTGTCTGACTCTAAAACCTGTGCTCTTTCCTATTACACTACACTATGAGTATCTTAACTGGCAGATTTTGGAGCCAAAGCCGGGGTCTGGTGATCTCAAAATGGCACTCTTT